AAAAAAAAACCGTCATCTTTACTTCATAATAGACGACTCTTTTAAAAAAAAAAACCGTCATCTTTACGTATAATAGACGACCCTTTTAAAAAAAAAACCGTCATATTTACTTCATAATAGACGACCCTTTTTAAAACAAAACCGTCATCTTTACATCTAATAGATGACCCTTTTTTAAAAAAACCGTCATCTTTACTTCATAATAGATGACCCTTTTTAAAAAAAAACCGTCATCTTTACATATAATAGATGACAGTTTTTTCAAAACAACCATATCTTTACCAAAAAAAGGACACTTGATTTTTAAAAAACGACGCTTGTCATATCTGCTGTCGTCGTTTTTTGGTCAGATTTTAACTATGAAGAAAACTTTTTTAATAAGACGACGCTTTTTTATTTGTGTGCGTCGTTATAAAAAAATATTCAATAGTACCTCCGTTTTTTAGTTGTTTAAGTCACTTATCCACGACGGTTTTTTTGTTACCGTCGTCTTTTTAAACACAACGACGGTTTTTTCTTCTACCGTCGTCTTTTTCTGGTCGTCTTTTTCACTTTTTGTAGTAGTGATCATTTTAACATGTTGGGATGGAATGTAGCTGAAGTATACTAATGGAGTGGAAAAAGACACAGTCTTTTCTTTCTCTTATGTGATTGATTTTATTTGCTTATCTTCTGTTGTAGTTTTTCTGTGTTACGGTTTGTGCACATGTGTAATGCCTGGTCGTCTTTTTCACTTTTTGTAGTAGTGATCATTTTAACATGTTGGGATGGAATGTAGCTGAAGTATACTAATGGAGTGGAAAAAGACATAGTCTTTTCTTTCTCTTATGTGATTGATTTTATTTGCTTATCTTCTGTTGTAGTTTTTCTGTGTTACGGTTTGTGCACATGTGTAATGCGATTGTGGTGCTTTCCAGTACAAATCTTATTTATCCAACAAATGAAGTGTGCTGATGGAATGAACCCGAACCATGATTGTACTATTAATATATTAACCCAAATATGCTTGGTTTGCTTGAATTTGTCTTTTTTCTATAGTTGCATTGCTGTCTTGTTGGTATTCAAGACTCAGATACCTTTTTAAAACTTAAGAGTCATGGATTATCTTTTAATTCCTAGAATTTTATTGTCAATGCTTCAACTTTGTTGATATTTTTTCAATTTATGAAGGTTTACTTCAAACATTTTGAAAAGTATTGGGACATCTTACTAACTGCAAGTTCCTTTGCAGCCTCATTTTTTTTTTTTTTTTTCATATACGTATAATGTCACAATCAAGCATGTATGAAGGTAATGACATAGAAGAAGAAGAAATTGATGACAAAGAAATAGATGAAGACGAAATAGATGAAGAAGAATTGGATGAAGAATTTTATGAAGCCATTAGTATTTTAGTGATGGAAATTTATGCCGTAATACATGTGCTAAATCAGTTTCTGATTATGATGCATGGTGAACAAAGTGAACGTCCATTAACTCCACGACGAATTACTAGCATTGGATATGACTCTATACATCAAGCATTAAATGATGATCATGCAATCTTTCGGAAAGTATATATAATGTATCCAGATGTATTACGGAAGTTATGCACTATTCTTAGAGAAAAAACACTTTTGGAGGATACAAGATTTATTTGTGTTGAAGAAATGCTTGCAGCGTTTCTACAAATCGTCGGCCAAAATACTAGATATTGTGTAATTCGTAATACATTTGACCGATCACAATTCACTGCAAGTGAAAATTTTCATAAGATTTTGAAGGCCTTGAATTTAATAACATCTTATTTGATGGCTAAACCAAGAGCTGCTGTGCCTGCTAAAATAAAGGAAAGCACAAGAGTTTACCCTTATTTCAAGGTATGTGATGATTATCTAATTATATTAATATTGTAATTATAATTGTCATTATTATAATATGTATTTTTCATAATATGGTTATATTTACATATGAATAATTTTAGGATTGCATCAGAGCTATTGATGGTACACATATTCCGGTAATGGTGAGAGGACGAGATGTAAGCAGCTATCATAATCGTCATGAAAAGATATAACAAAATTTATTAGCAGCTTGTAACTTTGATTTGGAATTCATGTACGTTCTTAGTAGGTGGGAGGGTTCAGCTTATGATTCAAAGCTACTAAGTGATGTTTTATCAAGGAGGAATGGACTTAAAGTGCCCCAAGGTAAGTACTTAGTTTTAAAATGATAAATATGTATTTTTTATTTTTTACTTTTCATACTAATTTGATATGTACTGTATATATAATTAGGTAAATATTTCCTGGTGCATTGTGGATTTCCTAATCGGTGCCAATTTTTAGCTCCATTTCAAGGTGTGCGATATCATCTCCAAGATTTTGCAGGTCATGGTAATGACCCTCAAAGTGAAAATGAATTGTTCAATCTTCGCCATGCGTCCTTGCAGAATGTGATTGAGAGGATATTTGGTATTTTTAAATCGCGATTCACAATTTTTAAGTTAGCGTCTCCATTTCCATTTAAGACGCAAGCAAAGCTTGTATTGGCATGTGTAGCACTAAATAACTTTCTTTGCGAAGAGTGTCGTTTTGATGAACTTCCAATTGAACCAACAAACGAATCTTCATCATCTTCATATTCCGTATTACCAGTTCATGAAGATGATACTTTTGAACTTATTGTTCAAACCCAAGAGCAACAATGAGAAGATGCTACTGCATGGAGGGCGAGCATAGGTTTAGATATGTGGAGAGATGCTACATAGGAGGACATGAAGCTACATCAAATTGGATATTAAAAAATTGGGAAGATTGTGTTCGGTTTACTTTTCTTTATCATGATTATCATTTGTTTGGTATTATAGACTAGCTTTTTTAAATAAAATAAAAAGAAAGAAAGAAATATCGGGGGGATGGGGGGTTGGAACCCCAAGAACAATTATAGACTAGCTTATTTCATTGACTTCTAACTTTGAATATTTGCTTTTATTTATGTTGGTTATCATTCCATAATTGTTGTAACCTTGAATGTTGTCATTCCTATTTTCATCCTTGAAGGAAACACATTCTTCTAACCCCATAAAATGACACATCAATATCAAGCCACAATTTTGAAGCAAACACCTTTTTGTCCAGGTCGGTTGTTGTACTTGTGGATAATGCATGGACTGCCTTTTTTTTTGTTTTCTTTTAAAGGTATGAAATTTTGGGTTCACTATATCTATTGGGCTAGGTTTTTAAAAAAGTTTCAAATTTTGGTTTGGGTTATAGCCCTATTTAGTCAAGCCCGGATATAAATCATATGATATAAATCCATGTGATCCTTTAAAATCTTATAAAATCTTATGATATAATCTTTAAAATCCAAAAGTTAAAAATCTTGATTATACAAATCCATCAATACAATTCTATAAGTGATTACATTCTAATTAAATTTACTAAATTTTTTTTATCCTTAAATAGACTTTTAAAATTTCAATTGAATACACCCCCTAAATTCCATGGAACTCTCACTTTCATTATCCCTCTTCTTACTCTATACTTTATTGAAAAGATTATTGCACAAGGGAGTTAAAAAAAAAAGCAAAGAAAGATCCCATTGTCTTCTTCCCTCATTTTCTTTTCTCTCAGTCATATCTCCTTTTCTTCGTCTTCCCTTATCTATTTCCTTTTTTCTTGTTGTATTTATTTCCTTTCTTTTTCATTTCTGTTTTGTGTAGGGAAAATGAATTGAATCATTCAATCACCAATCCTCGTGGGATCGACCTCGCACTTACATATGCTATACTACCAACGGTTCGTGCACTTGCGAGTATCACAAGTTGAGGATGCAGCTTAATCCATTTTGGTGGAGCTAAAATCTACACAACAGCCTTTGCGTGAAAACAGAAACCAAACCACACACCGAACCGTTAGTTTCGATTAACCGAGGGCTTCAGTAATTGAAGGTGTTGTGAGAATGTGAAGATAAAAAGTCCCACATTGGAAAGCTGAGAAACCTAGCAAAGACTTATAAGGAGTTGAGCTACTCCCACCATCGCCAATTGGTTTTGGGGTGGAACCTCAACTTTCTTCATGGTATCAGAGCGGGTTAGCCCACATGCGAAAGCCCAACAGCCACACGTGCTCCATGTCACCCAATATGTGTTGTCCATGTGCTAAGCTTGAAAGTTCGCCACACATGTGGGGCCGTGTGAGAATGTGAAGGTAAAAAGTCCCACATTGGAAAGCTGAGAAACCTAGCAAGAACTTATAAGGAGTTGATGGATGTAAGTTCTGAGTTCAATTCAATTCCCTGCATCTTTCATGCACTTTCAATTTCCAAAGCATCGGATTGCTGCTCTAAAGGTTCGATTTTTTCATGTTTTGTTCATGTGGGTATGTGGAATTCTTCGTGGTTTTGTGCTTATGTTTAGAGGGTTTGGTTTGGAATTTGAATAGAAAGAAGCTTTAAAGAGGAAAGGGCATGGAGAATATAGGGAGATAACTGAAGGGGATTTTTTAGGTGAAGTTACTGGGACTGAAAAAGCCATCTGCCACTTCTATCACCAGGAGTTCTATAGATGCAAGTGTCTTACTCTAGAATCTTTAACATTCATAAACAAGGATGAGGGATTGTGTTTCGAAATTAATACCTGGTTCTTTTTGTTGGAAATTTGATTTTTTAATTAATATTAATTTTCTTATTTGAATAGTGGGATTGTGTTTCGAAATTAATACCTGGTTCTTTTTGTTGGAAATTTGATTTTTTAATTAATATTAATTTTCTTATTTGAATGGAAATTAGTAAGAGTCTTGGACCATGGTGCCCTTTGCTGATTTCTGAAAAGGTATCAATGCATCTGTTTTTCCAAGGGATGCATTGGTTGGCTTTTCAGATTGGGACACACCCCCTTGGAAAGGGCTCTTTAGCATCTATAAATAGAGTAGTCTTCTTGTAGTAAAAAAAATGGAATTTCTTTCAGTCTTTGTATATCCACTTCTATACAGAGTCATCGTATAGTCACTTATAGTCTATGAGAGAGTTTCCTGCATAATCTTGTTCAAAGGGTCCTTGTGAATTGTAGCGCTTCTTTCACAAGGATAGGAGCCGTTGTGTCCTGGGAGGCGAGTGCTAGTAACCATAAGCACTGTGTGGGGTGTAATTCGTCTTAAGGTCAAGTGTCCAACACTTGCCTCGACTCAATTTTTCAGATTTTTCTAATCCATATCATGTGATTTTATCTTTGTGTATGCTTTTGTTTTTAACATGATATTGCATACTTATTTCAAAATTTCTGTGTGATTAAATATATCAATTAGACCAAATTTTTCGTATACTTTTTAGGATAATGGAAAAGCGATTGAAGACCCTTGCTTCAAAGCATGTTGATACCAAGTTCATCAAGCTGGATGCAGAGTTCAGTATAAACTTCAATATGGTCTTGTGTTCTTATAATTGGTGCCACTTTTCGTGTTTGCTCGGGTTGATACTACTTGTTGCAACCTTCCATTTCAGTCATTTAGTTGGAAAGCTTTAGAATGGGGAATTGACGATTTGAAAATGAAATGCAGAATGCGCCGTTCTTCGTCACCAAGTTAGGAGTCAAAACTTTGCCTTGTGTCATAATCTTCAGGTCAGGCCATCTTCATCATAACTATTATATCTATATTCCTCCCCATTTCCAGTATTTAAGATGCATATCAGCATGTGGTGGCTCTTAAACAAAAGGAGAGCAAAGAAAGCTGAAACTGTTCTAAGATCACAATTATTTGAACATTCACACTTGGCAACTTGTGTATTATAACATGCCTCAAGAGCATGTGGTGGCGACGTTCATGCTGCTTTCAACTTACATTGAGATCTTGCATTAAAATTCATATTTACGAATTCAAAAGGTTTGCCTTTGCTGAAAAGGAGTTGCTGTGGATAGGTTGGTTGGATTTCAAGATATGGGAGGAAAAGATGAGTTCAGCACAAGGGCACTTGAGGTTGTAATAATCAAGAAAGGTAAATGCTTTGTCAAGAGTGTTTTGCAATTCTTAGTTTGTTGTAGAGTCTCTAAACTGCCATTTTAGCAGGTATAATTGGTGAGAAGAAGGGTGAGGATGATGAAGATGATGGATATCATGAAGGTAGTCGCAGGACGGTGAGATCCTCTGTGAATCTCGATGATTCTGATTCAGACTGGAAAAAAAAGGAAGAAGAATAAGAAAGTGATACCTCAGGACAGTGAGATCCTCTGTGAATCTTGATGATTCTGATTCAGACTGACAAAAAAGGAGAATGAGAAAATATTCATTAACAAGTTCACATTGTTTATGTTATGTGGTTCTCACCAAAATTTGAATTTGAATGAAATGGATTTTTAGATTAAACAATGACTATGCAATGGAATTGGGCTGTGAGTCAACCCAAGGTCACCTTGTTTGAGTCAAATTTTTTCACGCCCAACCAAAATGCAATTTAGGCTTCTTGCTTTAGGAAATTTTTGGTAAATGCATTCCAAAAAGTTCCACAGCAGAACAAGGAAATAATCAAGCAGAACGATAAATCAAGAAGCTTTTTTTTTTTTTGGTTCAATAATCAAGAAGACCAGAAAATATTGCAAATTTTGGATCCATGGTGTGGAATTCAGGAGAATTAAGAAAAATATCTGATTCTTCTTTTGCCGGATAATAAGGAAAAATAAAAATGTACATTTGATTAAACGAATTAAAATAAATAATTTGAATATTAGCAACAAGGTTAGAAGAGTTGGTGAAAAAAATAACTATAAGAACACGAAAAGTAACTGAAGTGGGTGCAACAAACCCCTTCTCAATTTTTACAATAACATACTCCGGTCTTTTGAATTTGTTATAATGTGATTCCACCGTTAGATTTCCATAAGATCTCTCCATTAGTTGCTTACGTAGCAGTATGGGTCCCATATTTTCTTATTTTAATTTTAAATTGAATAAAATATTTAAAAACCAAAAAAATTAAGAAATTTTCTTAAAAAAAGAAAACTCTCTCTCTCTCTCTTTCTCTCTCTCTTCCACCCATACCTGAAGATGATGAATTTGCGGGAGGAAGGAGGGGGGAAGAAATCGGAAGGAAGGAGGGGGAGGGGGTCTGGGTCGTTGCATTCTGGGCTTTTGGGTTCGTGGGGGCTATGGTTGCAGGCTGGGGTGGAGGGTGGTTGTGGGATGGGGATTTATCATGACCAAATTAATAGACTGGCACAATGTTGTCAATAAACAATAAAATGTTCAAAAAAATAAAACAATAAAATGTTCAAGACAATAATCAAATAGTGAAACGATTTTCTGATTTGGAGGAATCCTTGTAAGGATGATGACTTGAAAAATAAACTATTCACATCATGATATTTAATTGTCGTTTGAACCCAAAGAAATGCTAAACATCATATTAACTTGTTAGCACTTGAGCCCTACTGTTTATATATGGGACTACAGTCATCATTTATATGCATAATTGATGACTTTCATTTTTATTGTTTATCTATATAGAGTCCTAATCTCTTGGACCACAGGAGTCCAAGAGATTGTGGTCACCCACCATTGGACATTAATCCAATGGTTCAAAAAAGTTTCTTAAAAGGAGTGCAAGAGTGAGTGAACCGTTGAATTTACATCTAACGGTTAGTGACCACAAATCTCTTGGACCACTCTATATATAAAGCAAAAGGTAGAGAATGATAAACATTCAAAATACCAGAAAATACCATTAGTTAATGCAAACATTAAGAATTGAAATTATTAATTAAATGAGGATAATATAGTAAATTCACACTTTTCATATTAAAAAAAATTAAAATTAAAAGAAAATTCAGATAATTGATCCTATTTTTATGAAAGACAACTACTCATTATTTTTTTAATTCTAAAATAAATTTTAAATTTTAAAAGATAGTCTCTTATAGGTGCGGAATGACGTGCAGAGAGCCTAGTGAAGTATCATTCATAATGTATGGTTGGCTTTGAATCTTGACATTGTATGTCACGTCTCTCTCTATAAAAGATTATCGCCAAAACATAGCAAAATCTACAAAATCAAATCATTCAACGTGAAGAAGACTATTGCTAAAGGACATTATCTTTTACATTAGTATTGTTGTTAATATTAATATTGACATTAATTATTTTTCTTATGATTATTATAGTGTGAATAAAAAATAAAACTAGATAATCGCTTTGGACTAGAGCCTTGGTACCGGTTCATTTATTTTATATATGTGTCACTCTAGACTTTATTTGTTCACGACAAATAAGACGTTGACACGTAAATTGGTGTCCAACAATTAGTGTAATAAATTAGTCTCCCTAAATGATTTTTGTATTAATTTATAGGCCACTCACCATCACTAGGCTATTTTACGGACGTCATGTGTATTGTCTTGCACGTTTGGCTTTTCATTGAAAAAAATGCACCTGCCCCGGAAATACTGCCAGATAAAGCCAATGGATTAGCAGCACTCATGGGTACCATTTTTAAATGGCACAAAATCAAATGCCATCTTCAAACTTGAATAATATATAAACAATTTCCCCCTTAAAAAATGGCTGAAAGCCTTGTAGATTTCTTAAATGGATTATTTGTTTATTAACGTTTTCGGAGAATGTTTTCTTAGAATATTTTTAGAGAATGAAAACAATAAAACGAATTTGCATTTTCAGGAAATGAAAATGCGCCTGGTAGATTAATTAGAAAATATCTTCAGAAAACAAAAACAATGAAAACGTGTTTGGTAGTACAATTTGAAATAATAATATATGAGTTATTTTTATGAAAACGTTTCCCATGAGAATGAAAACAACTTTTTTCTGTTTTCTACCAGTACACATGAACTTTTTCTCAGTGTTTTCTATTTTTGGGCCACCAAACATGTTTTTACCTCATTTTTGTTCTCTGAAAATGAAAACAACCCCTTAAAATGTTACCAAACGGGGCCTAAAAGTCTCAGTTTGTGAATGGGTAAATATTCTTTGGAATGTGAGATTAGCTTTGGCACTCAGTAATTAAATTAGGCATTAGGCAGTTTACTGCTACATTTAAAGGTCATGCGTTTGAATTCCCTTCCCCGTTTGTATTAAAAAGAAAAAGTAACCATGAGAATCAAAAGTTAAAGTGCCATGAGAATCAGATAATATAATTTTGTCATGTAGACAAAAACAATTGGAAAACAAAAGGAGTGTGTTTCGTTTTGAGACAGAAGGAGTTTGATTAGTAAGTTAGTTTGTGTCTTCTTCGATTATCCAATAACTTTCATATCGGAAAAATAGTATAGTGCTATACAAAACTGGATAAAGCTACAAGAGTGAGTTAACTTGTGGAGCAATTAAAGGACAAAATGACATAAAACTTGAGGAATGAATGAAGTACTTTGTGTGCGGTTGAAGCACAACCTTTGTCTTTGTGCTTAGAGAATGTGCGAAGTGTTAGCTGTAAAGCCATGCTCCATGCTCCACGCTTCTCTACTCTCACTATCCCTGCCTTGCAGCTTAGTCCTCCATACAATTGTATAGTTGACCAGAAAATTTGTTTTAATTTGGAGCATCATTTTCTTATTCATATTATTGAAGATTACTAATTAACCGTGACTCGATAATTGTAGGCGAATGACTCGAAATTAACGCAACTCACTTATTACTCATACTCGTTCATATATGTCATTTGCTTTTCCCCTCTTTTCATTCTTGATTTTTTCATGAATTGATTCATTTTACTCCCTTATTGAGTATGTGGAGGGCAAAAACAAAGAAAGTTACTTGTATACTCTTTGACAAGCAATTATTCATTGTAATTGGACAAATAATGATTTTTTTTTTCAATCTTTTATCAAAAGTTTGTGGGGACCACTGGATCGGGTGGTCGACGATGAAAAACAAATTTGTTGAAAATAATCAAGTCATAATCAATATGTTCATGTCATCGAAAGTATGCTTTTATCTTCACAATATATAAATCAAAGACCAAAACATTTCTACTTTATGAGTCAAGCAAGGAAATATTAGGGAGTTTCTGGGGTAAAAATTGGACCTCAATTGTGTTGCTTTCTAAGCAACTTGTTCCAGAAATATTAAGGGAGATTCACTATTATACCCAATATAGGGGTTCAAATTATTATTTTTTTTATTAAAAAAAACCCTATATAAAATGGACTTTAAAAACACGCTTAAAGTCCATTTACAACATAACAAAAAGGCTTTTAACTTATTTTAAATTACAAAACTGTCATTGATTTCTTAAAACAAACTCTACTCCAAAACCTCATAAAAAAGCCCAATATACTCAATAGGGCATCAAAGTAATTTAATAATCAAAATTCAATTCAATAGGGCAAGCTGTCATTTTTTGGGTTTTTTTTTATAGAAATTAAATGGTGTAGGGTTTATTTATAGTTTTAGTGCTAAGAATGAGTATATGACTAAATATCTCAAATATTAAAGGTATCCGAAATTTCAAGTGACCTTCAAGCAAGCACTAAAGCAAAAATAAGGCTTTCCTTTTTCTTTTCTTTTTTCTTTTTTGGTTCTATTTTTCGCATTATTTCTTTCATTTATAGATGGTATTCCTAGGATTTCTACGACTATATAAACTATTTTTTCAAAATAATCAAGTAAAAGAGACATAAATGAAAAAAAGAAAAAAAAATTGTGGGGGGTGGGGGGGAGCTATCAGTGAAGCCTCTTTTTTATTTCTTTTTTCATTGAGATAGAACATGAATTCCACCACTATACATTAATGAATCCCACTGATGTACCTGATGATAGGGAGCTCTCCATTTGTGTTTCAACTTTTTAATGTATGATTTATTTAATGAAGGTAAATAAAAGAAGATTTAGCGGCGAAATTCGCGAAAGATTTATTTGGTACAAACTTAATAGTATAGGGTTGCAAGATATTTATAGCTCAAATTATTAATAGTAATTATTCATACACTTGAGGTCATGTGTTCAAATCCTCCACCACTAATATGCGGTTAATATTGTAAAATGCTTGTGTCCTAAACTAGTCATCATAAACATGCAACCTGATAATCATTCTATTTTAACATATATAACTCCAACAAACAACTACACTCAAACATTCCATTTAAAGTTTTGAAAACAATGACACGTGTAACAATATCACTGCTAGTTATAACACAACCATGGTTGGTGTTGAAATTAGAAGTTTTGGAGGGAATTAATTGACACGAAAGCAAAAGTTCAAGGGGGCACTAAATTGACCAACTTAGTGCATTGAATAAATTTTGCGTCTTACATCATAA